GACAAAGGAGGGGGAGGGGAGGGCTGCTGCGGCCACCTTTTGTCCCGTCCACCACACCACACGAGGCTGGCCGGCGAGCCCCGGCGGCAGTGTTCGCGGAACGCCGAGCACCCCGTGAATTTAGCGCAACGCATTCAGCGTGCGGCGGCAGCGCGGCCGGCGCGGGCAGAGGAATGTGGGAGCGCGAGTGTGTCCCATTGCAAACAAAAGTCCCTGCAAGTGTTCGACGAGCGGGCAGGGGCAGGGCAGGGCCGGCCTCTGCTGCGCCTGCGCCCGAGCAGAACAGGGGAGAGGAGCTCCGCTTTCGCTGAGAGACTTGCCGCTAAATGGCCCATGGCTTATGGCTTTGTCCAGGCTTACCGGGGGGGGGGGGGCACATATATGTACTTCTCTAAGTGCACGTAAAAAGAAAACAAAACTAGGAGAGCGAGCAGTAAAATTGCGATCCAATTTCAGTGTCTTCCCCTCGCTTTTCCCTCTTCTTTCTTCTCACAGGGGTCAATGGACAATTACCTGGAAATGCCAACGGAGAGGGTCCTTGAGGAAATACTTATCGACCGAAAGGAGGTGACGCGACTGCCTGACGCTCTCAAAAGCCGGCAGATTTTTTCGGAGGGGGGGGACAATTAAGAGGTCCTCAGCCCTTCCTACAACCTCTTGCTCTGCCCCCCGGCACCTCCTCGCCCCCCGCAACCCCTACCTCCTTCCCCGTAGTCCCCTAACTATCAATTAACAGAGTATACAATGGGGCCCTTCACAATGAGGGGGTCCTGGGGAAAGGGCGCGCCGTGACGGGGGGGTCGACTGAGTGTAAACACCTCCAAGACGAGGGACGCAGCCGACGTGTTAAAAACTGGAAAAAGATGAGGAGCCCGATTGACGAGGCAAGTGTCAAGGAGGATGCATGTGTTACCTACCGTATTGAACCGAGTGTAAAGTGTATCAGAGCGAACACACCTGTATTGCGGGTTTGCCTACTCCTCCGCCTGTAAGGCACGATGGCCCCGCGTCCCAAGAGGGTATGCAA